AATCGGGAAAGGATTGGCGTTTATAACTTTTGCATCAAAATGTTTTCTTATGGCAATCACGTTTGATGCTCCAACCATAGTCGGCCATCATGTGTTTATCCAATCCTCTTCTCTGATAACATTTCCCCATCGTCATCATATCTTGATGAAAACCTTCCTCCTGTTCGTCGCTTACTGCCCCAAAGTTTACAGGGAATCAATCAAGATGATTGTTCGGGAAATGCAGCTTGACGCTCATGTTGCACCCAATATCGCGAAATACCAACAACATTCTGTTAACCTGTTTTCATAATTATCTGATCTTCTGCTCCCAAAAAAGTTTTGTACAACCGCCACAAGTACATGCCACGCATTCATTTCGTTGGCATTCCTTATTGAGACAAATTCTTCCTCTCGAATTAGTGGGCCGCCAAAAATGCCCGGTTTAATTATGGACAAAGAGGCTAAAGTAGAACCTATGTACTAAAAACATACGCCATCTGTATTCAAAGCTCCCACAAACTGTTTCATAAAGCCCAGTTTCAAATGCACTGGGGGCAGTATGCTCTCTCTGCTGACATTCGGATCATCTACAATGTTCGACATGCCAGACTGCAGAATTTCACTTCTTGGCCACTCCTTCTGTGTCCAATGTTTCTCATGAACTCGATTGTCCCACAAGCAGAAATAACATGTGAACTTTGTGTAGCCTGTCTTCTGAAAATCACCTTTTTCAAATCAGCACAAATCATCCGTTGTGTTCATGATATTTGCTGAGGTCAATAACTATTTTTATGTCGTATTCTCTCAAATGCACTGAGTAACCCACTGGAACTGCTCCATATACGTTTCCTTTATGCAGCAGAACACATTTTAGACGACATTTTGAAATATCTATAAATAGTTTTCACTCTTGTGCATCATACGATCCAATCCCCAATTGCAATAAGAGGCCTGGAATATCATGGTAAACATCGAGCTGCTTGTCTTCTGAAAAAGGGCTAAGAAACTCTGCTCACTTTTTTGTAAAAAGCAAACTGTTGCTGTACAGTTGAGTATATTTTTTCAATTAGCATGGAAGCTAATAACTCAGCCGCTCTTTTGGAGATCCCCCAATACTTGTTGACTGAATTGCTGGGGCGCTGATAAAAGTTCAGCATCATAAGTTGAAGCCGATTCATGTACCTGGGCCCCACGCCCCCTGGCTTTATCATCTGAATGTTGGAACTGGAAGCTTTTCAGAGTTGGAATGGGTCGAATTGCATAGGAAATACTAGGATAAGAGATCTTATGCCGATTTTTCTTGTCAATACCTTTTTTATTAACCATGCAAGAATGGCAGTCTTTCCTGTTGTTCCTGGGTTCTCGCCAAACCATAGGAACTCCAAATGGCAGACCTTTGCGTTTGCCTTTTGTCCAGTCACGAAGCATTTCCTCACAATAATGGCACACAATGTGAGGTGCCCATTTTTGGTCTTGGTCACCAAGGGGTATTTCAAAGTATGCTTTATAGACACATTTTGCAAACAGTGATATTCCTCCTTTGATGAACTAGTGTATAACAGCCGCACATAGAGCAAAATGCATCAGGTTCATTTACACATTATATCGACATGAGTGAGTCATCGTCATCACTGAAGCATAAGTGGATTGGTGCTTAATTTTCTATTTACGTAAATTACAAGCATGCACGAAAGCTAGAGAGTGCAGGAAAATCAGGTTTCCAGTTGCAATCAGTATTAGAATTTCATGTAGAATCAGTTAAAAAATCTCTTGCCGAAAAAAAGTTGGACAGTTTTTCTCGCCACATAACTATTTCCTGCGATAACTTAGTTTTTTTAATTCAGGTTACATTTCTCCTTACCCTATTGCTGATTGCTGATACCGTGACGAACATTTTATTCTGTCTACAGCATCATCTTTGTCCTTAATGGTACTACATCCATCGGCCAGGTAGCGTCCTACTCCCTAGGCCGTTCCGTTGGGAACGCCCTCGCGCGCAGTAATCGAACGTGAGATCAAACGGATGAGATTGAGCAAGACCGCTGAAGCAGATGAACTTCATCCAGCCCTCTTCAAATTTGGGGCCCTGCTCTTTTGGACAGTTTACATAATTTACTAGTGAATCTATGGGAGCAGAAGACTGTCCCGACAGACTGGAGGGGCACCGTAATAGTTCCAATTTCAAGCTAGCCTCCCGTCCTGAATGCGGCAGTCATAGAAGAATCAGTCTGATCTCCATTGCTTCTAAATTGCTTGCGTCTATCGTCCTCCGTAGGCCGACTGGCACTCGTGAAAACAAGATGCACGAGGAGCAAGCCGGGTTTCTTCGCAATCGAGGTTGCATTGACCACATCTTCACAGTAGCGTGTTCCTAGACATCAAAGATGCTTTTTCTTCGGTCGATCGATGTGCCCATTGAGACTGTCCACTCAGGAAAGGTGTGCCCGAGAAATATGTAAACCTCATCAGAGCGCTATACGCTTATAGCTCGGGCATACTTATGGTTTACAGCAAGCTGCCGCCGCCCTTCCAGCGGTGTGAGACAAAGTTGTCTGCTGTCATTTTTCCTCTTTAACTTCGCCATTGACGAAGTCATGGAATGGCGTTCGCCGGGCACGACTTACAACGTGTGTAGCTGCTCCCTGGTGAACGACTTCTCGACTTGGAGTCTGCTGACGACATTGCGCTCCTCTGTGACATCCCCCGATGGTGCCAAGCTGCACTGGATAAATTTGCTCTGATTTTCTGTCTTTTTGGGTTATGATTTGCACTGTCCAAATGCAAAGTTCTCCAGGATTGGCAGGGACCCACTCCTGCACTGACTCTTGGCGGTGATAATTTCGAAGCCGTCGAGAAATTCAATTATCTGGGCAGCTTTATCAACGACAGTGGAACGGAAGATGAGATCACGTACCGTATAGGAAAAGCTGGACGAGTTTTGCTAATCTCCGCCATCTGTGACATTACTCTTGCTCTGAAGGGCAGAGTTTACTATGCAGCCATCCGTACAACCTGTATGGTTGCGAAACTTGGCCCATCAAGTCGACAGACATAAACTAGCTGCCCTCCCAGCTTAGCTCGTGTTTGGTGGGAGCACCGTGTGAGCAATGAGCGTGTTCGGCGTCACGTGTTTAGTGCAGGAAGAACGAGTGAACTGCACAGCACGGTGATATTACGCACCAAGCTCCGATGGGTGGGCTACGTGTTGTGCATGCCAGCCCAGCAACGTTGCTCGCCGGGCGTCTGGATGGACGAAGAGGGGAAGGCCATGCGATAACCTGATCGAGAGGGATGAAGTCCCTCACTTCGACATTGGCGTCGGTTGGTGCATCCCGCCTGTCTGGCTGGGGACCGAAGGATGATGAACACGTTTGGTTGGATACACTAGCTGACATGGCGAAGAGTCGACCTCAGTGGCCTTTGTGTTGTGAGTCTCTTTGCCCCTCCCCTTCCGTCTTGCTTCCCTTTCTAAAAACCATCAAAAATGTGATCTTGACATTATGTTACTTTTTATAGCTTTCAAGTCTACATTGCTTAATGTCTTACTTTTTGTATTGCGGCACCTTAGCTGTGGTGTGTTTCTCACCACCGGTCTATGTGCATTGATTACGATGATGACGACGACGATGATGATCATGATGGTGCTGATGATGAATACTGAGAAAATGCAGCGAGTAGGGATGCCTCTGTGTAGCTGCATCTAATATTTTTCAAGCAAACCTACCTTTTATGATGGTGGTTTTTTTCGAAATTTTAACTCGGCAAAGTGCGAGTCTAGGAGTTCCTTACATTCCGACATTGACTTTGCTTCGACTATGTCTGCAGGCAGGTTGTTCCGAATATTCACCACTCTCCGCTCGAAAGAGAGTTAGTGAGCGGCCCGCTTCAAATCCAGTACGACAAGCTTGTACCGATGTCCGCTTGTGCTGCTTGGTGTGGGCAGATGCAGCAGCGGCCTCAACATGTTTTATTCGCCGAGATGTAATATCCGGTGCGTCATGATAAGGTCAACCCGCATTAGACGATAAGACAGGGTGTACAACCCTAGTCTCTTGCACCGGTCTTCAATTGGCACATCTCGTACACCGGGGATGAGCCTTGTGGCCACATGCTGTACCTGCTCGATATTTTGCACCTCGGCCCGAGTGAGCGGACAGTAGGCGGGTGAACTGTACTCTAGCATTGCTCCGATGATAGGAGAGAAGATTCGAGTGGCAAACTCTTCGGACCAAGTGCAGAAGCTGCGTTTGAGCGCCCAGAGCATGCGCAGTCCGTTTTGTGTTTTCAACGGATTTCAAATTGCGACGTGAAAGTACACCGCGATCTCTCACGGATGACGATGTGTGTAACTGTTTACCGGCCACATTGTAAACTCAGCCATTGTCACCCTTGCCCAGGCTCATGAATACCGAATTGACCGGGTTGCTCGGAAGGTTGACCTTTACTGACCACATGGAGAGACGGTCAAGGTCACGCTGATGATGATGATGATGCAAAGAAGCACCTCGTGAAGCAATATGAGCAGGCTCATGTGGCGTTGGCTTACGTAATTGGATTACCCATGGCACTGGATCTCGAGTCATCACCCCCTCATCTCTTCTTACGAGATTCTGTCCATGTGCATCGTCACTTGGAATCAATGGAGTAGCCACTTAAAACGAGCTACAGGTACTTTTGCGCCGTTACTATGCTGGTTAAGCGACAAGAGCAGTTACTGCAAAGTGCCATTCGAATAAGCGATCGCACTTCACAGGAACAACTTTCGGTAAGTCGACAAGAAATCATTGAAGCATACTTCCTGTAAGGTGACTTACGGGAGAAGAGCACATTTTCCTTCTATAGCGGAGACAGCTTTTAGTTTCAGTCTGTTCGTTCGTTAATTTGTACGCACTTTGTAACAACGTTTAGACAATTTCAGTATGTCAACTCTCCCTAAACCTTTTGCAGTTTTGTGACAACGTCTTTGCGGTTTCGTGCTTTCTGCCCAATATGGATGATATAATGTATGTGCGATACGATATAGGGTCCGGCACGTCGTTACAATTTATCAGCTTACCGGACTTTGTCTGTCCTTGAGTTAGTAGACATCCCGATAAGGAGTATTTTTCGATTACTTTCATTGGCACTGAGGTACGTTTTATCGGTCGAGGCTTCTGCGATTTTTTGGGCATCTAATCTGCATATTCCAGACAAGTCTGATAACAAAGGGAGATGGCTTGCCTCTAGAGTAGTATCTTGATCACCACAGGCTTCCTGTGTATTTGTTCTTCTCAGCACACTGTGGGTAATGGTGCAATACCTGGATATCCTGGAACTAGCGTTGGCGGGCAGTGCGCAGATGAACAATAATAGGAAGCTGTGTTTACTGCTCATTTTGTCCACCCCCATAACAGTAGTCCGATTGATAGACGTCGCAGGGTATCACAGTAGCTATGATTTGTGCACTCTCCGGCCTCGTTATTTCAACTTTTTATACCGACAATGAATTTTTGCTTCCGCTTCCGTTTTTATACGGGTTCTTTTTTCTGCACGACGGTTTCTACAGAGCCACACTGACCCAAACGGTATGTTATATTCTCTGTGCGTTGCTCGCTGTGGACTGACAGGCACTCGCTTGTGTCCAAGCAGACATTGGCCGAGAATTAGCGATTCTCTCTGTCGAGCAGTTTCATTGTCTGATATTTTTAGTCCTTCTCGATGTAGTCCGTTTGATGTTGTCATGCAGAGACATTTTTGCGATACATTACGTTTTTTGGTGGCAGACGAATTAATTACGTTTACGAAAGAAAAATGCAGCTGTACGTTGAGCGTGATCCGGATACTCCAAAATCACTTAAACAAACGTCATAGCAAGAACTGCAACACTTTTTGAAAGTAGCTGTATAATTTGCGGAAACAACATGCCATTCGACAGCTGAGTAGTAGGTAAGCGATTTGGAACAGATGACCAACGACATGAGAGGCTGCTCAAAATTTCGGCTCATATTCACTGAGTCCGTGAATAACATCAGCTGACGCAAATTTACGATCTCGCTTGAATTTCGAAGTGAAATAAATAGAACGATATTTCAGTCAGCACTTTTTCGGACCGCTCTTTTAGGAGTATTCTTAATTTTGTGGGTTTCTTACACATCCGGCAAACTTCCCATATTACCACACTTTGATTTCGAAAATCCACGCAACACGACTAAGTACATGTAGGGATTTAACTAACTCAACCAGAGCTGGGCCCAGCAACTCAATGAATCCTCTGCTTATTTCAGGAAGCAATATTCCGATGAGAGTAGTAGCGACCACATTTGAGAATACCCGAGTGAGAGTCGTTTGGCGTTAGCATACTTTTTCGCCTTTTTGTATTTCCCATTTCGTTAACTAATCCACTAACCTAGGTGCTGCGTCTTCCATAGTGTCATTTTGAGCATCCTGAACCAGTGAACTTCATGTCATGCATTCACATTCACACTGCCGCGCCAAGCGCATTCTAAGAATTCGTTTTCTATGCTTACCTCCCGAGTAATATAAGTGTGCGTCTGTAGTTGCTAAATGACAAAAGAAACCTGTTGTGCATAGCTACATGCCGGCATAACAGCTACGGTACCGTAGCCCATTTATTTGACATTGTATCTTAACACGACTTCTTTGATTCACCGATGCAGATTGTAATCAAATCCTACTCGATACGTTATTTTTCACCATTCTTTTTCAAAAGCCGGTTGCCGAAAAACCGTTCTACTTCGAATCGGAACTTGACGACATTCCAATCGCTCAACTGAAAGAGCGAATATTCGACGAAGTCAGTCGGTTCGTTGAGCCTGCTTAGTGTGAACACTCCCACCCGGTCTCCCTGGTCTGTCGCTGTTCGCCGATATTTTGCTTCCGTTCCTGCGGATGGACGCATGATGTACTCAAAGCCTTGAGGCGTAACATCACTTCGTCGTCAAACTCGCTGTACTCTGACACCCGTGGTTGTTTGCGCCGGTATCTCTTTTAACTCTGAACTCCACGACTGCAACGCGTCCTGCATGACTCATTCGGCGTTTTCTTTAATATTTAGTCTAATTTCCGTCCATCTAGTTTTCTCCGAATGTGTTGTACTTCCGTCCTAAACTTGGTCGCGTGTATTTTCTCCCTACCAACGATGGTTTGTATGCAGTTGTTCAGCTCACCGGCATGTCATGGTGCACTTGATGTGATCGGTGCAAATCGCCTCGCAACACCTGTCCTTTTCCGCTTTCTACGCCCCCCTCCTCTCGACTGGGATGAACCAGTGGTCTTTCGTAACCGTTTTGTACATTCTTATCTCGTGCGCCGCAAACTAACTTTCTCCTTTAGCATAATCATCTGAGTCTTCATGCTCATTTCCAGTTCTCTAACGTCTTTTATTTGTTTCCACTGTGAATCACTTGCACTAGACTTCCCACTGTACTGGACCACGGTTCTGTTTGTTTTCAACTCATTTCCATTCCTCCGTTATCAGCTCGAGTCTGATGTGACCATACCGATTTTGCTTATTTTATATGAAATTTAATATTCTTTGTACTAACCTGTTCTAAATGCACTGTAGTAGTTGCTTCTGATGAATTGCTTTTTATTTGTCTGCTCCTTGCACGTCTTGCTCACTGGTTAGAAACTTGTCTCCCCTGAGGGTTCGCTTCGGCGGAGAGCACATCTGTACTTCGGGGGTTCGATTCAGTGTGGTACTCGCTCAACACCTGTGTCTATTGCCACCGTTGCATCTCTGATCGACCTTTGACATCGTGTGCTTCGGCTCTTTTATCGATATTCAGCCGCATACTTTCTGTCGCTCTGTCTGGGTTTGTAGCAAGACCAGTGAGAATAGTATGAGAGGTGACACCCATCCACATAATAGATTGACCTGTTCATCCTCTACAAAGATCGATTGCAATAAGGGAGACGATAGGAGTTTATCGGTATTGTGACTTCTGAACTACCCATCTTGTATACACACGATCTCGACTCGGACCACGATTTCTTTTGAGGTAAAGCTCGATCACCTCGCTTAGTGGAATCGTGTGCGAAGTGTGGAATTACTGGTCTTAGTGCATTTTGAGTGGAGTCGTCACTACTCGCCCCTTCTCTGTTTTTCACGTCAACAAATTGCTTCATGCAACCACAGAAGGGACATTCTCCACTGTGGCACGCGCATCAGTAATGAAGCGATAAAAAAGACCGTACACTTTAGATATGCCACCGCTTTTTGGCGTTTTGAAACAGTTCGTCACGGACACAGAGGAGGCGAAGTCGAACATGATCAGTGGGAGATCATGACCAACTCGCCCTTTCACTAGGCGTTTTTGCGAGGGACTGAATGCTTTTGGTTTCCAATCGGCTCACTTTTACCGCATTCAGTAGATCTCTGATCACTGCGCCAAATGTTCGCATACTTCCTGATCCAGATGGAGTCTCACAGCTTTAGCCGCACCATTTCGCGCGAACGCTAGCGTTGTCTGCTGCTGCAGTGAGTTACCCGGCACTCCAAACTGTGGTAACTATGACTCAACTATGTCCTCGTTACTTTTATTACAAGGTCTACTACCGTCCTTATAGCCGTCAAGTATTTTGTGTCCTTTCTGTGACATGGGGCGTCCATTTTCGTTGCAGACCAACGTTCCTCACTGCAACGAGGACTCCCGATCATCTGACATAGTTTACTCTGCTGAGGCAGATGGAAGTTATTTGGACCACAACACTTACAGCTCAACCTTTTTCTTCTATCGCAAACTCACCAACGCAATTGTCTGCATGCATGGTGTACTATGTAAAGTCAGAGGGCTGTATCGCTTTTGCTCGTTATGCATTGGAAATGTACTCTGTCCCTCTGGATCCCCTTAGATATTGTCTGGCGCCGGGTTTCCCAACCTAGAGTTGGAAGGTTGTATGAACCACTGGTTCCGTACTGCTTTGCAGTGAGTAGCACTGTGTCCCGCTATCTATCCCTAGGTCAACCTAATCGGGCACATAAGGCGCGTTTGTATTCTACTCCCTGGGTGACATGCACAAACGGGGATAGTGAAAATTAAACAGATCGTGAAGGAACTCAAACTGCCGTTCGTGCATTTCCGATCGCCTTTCCAATGAATGGCTCCCGTTGTGCTCCAGGCGGCCCTCGTTTGATACATTGTAATTGATATATTCTCAACTAGGTGAGGCACGGCTTAACTAAACTGGTCCGATCATAAGGTACAAAGGAAATGCAGACTTATTTTCACACACCTATATCAAAACACGTGTGGTCTCGTGGATTCTTGCGCCATTGATTTCGTTTCCAAATTCGTCGGAATCCACGACGATTGCAAGGCGTTCAACTACGTTTAGGCGGACGGTTGGGAAATTAACAGCGTTTTAGATGGTCTGTAACAATATACACATGGAAAGTGTAATTAACAATTCATAGCTTTGGTACCTAACAATAATTTATAATCTGAAAGTGTATGAGCAGACATGATAACACGGCAAACGGTTAAACTGAGAACTGCCTCCATCATGAAACATAAATCAATTAGAACTAACGAAGTACCTCATACAAGGGGTAAGATATAATAACAAAGGAATTGGAAGTACCCACATGAATTGGGTGTGTTAGTTGCGGGACATCAATAATTCATGCTTTCGGTAGGTCCATGTCTTGCAGACACTCATGCCTTTCAGTGCATTTTCCTGAAAATAAGTCTTGAACAATCATTCCTGCAAAGATGTCTTGCAACAGTGACGATAAGCCATCATTTCTCTTTGGTCCCGATGCCCGAAGGTACAACGCGATCGGTCCACCTAATTATTTCTTACTAATTTCGGTGGTCGTTTTGGTTCCTTATGTCATTTGGTTTGTCTTACATCAGATCACAAATGTTACTAGAATTTTTACATCGGTGAATCCGTCCTCAAACTTGGCTGATCGCGCTCCGGTGTCCACTTGCACTTTAATCTACTCTTGAGGCCTTTATTTCAACAACAATATTTTTAGTCACTATGTTATGTCCCCGTGTCAAGATCGAGAGAAATTCTTTACACTACCTTCGCACCGCTGTTTAGTCTTTATGAAATGGGTATCAATTTGATTCCTTTGCGGTACACTGTAGCGAGCCAGATATCAACACTGTGTGCCTCACATTCGTTCCAAATGCATGGCTTTGATCTGCGATATCTGTTTCAGCGTAAATCGGACCTGATGCATCTGCATCAAAGCGTTCAGCTCCTTGCGTTTTTGCTACCTCAAACCGTCTCCACACTGTCTGGCTCAACATTCGAAAACCCATCTTCCCGCAACTTCTCGACGCGTATGTAAGACCCCATGTAGAGTTCGCCATTCAGACCTGATAACCCTGGCTAATACGCTATCTGGCTGCACTGGAGACCCCACAGCCAAGGGCAGCCAACATGTGGTGGGCTTGTTCCATCTCCCATACCAACCATGACAAAGCCCTTGGAGTGTACAGCGAAAGTTATCGTCGTCTACGGGGTGATTATTCTGGCGTATCAGATTTTGAAAAAACCAGTCACCCTTGTCGCCACCTGATACTTTGCCCCCAATGTAAAGTTAAGGGGTCATCAGCTGAAACTGGCTACCCAATGCAGTCGGCTGGAACGCCGCCGGAATTATATTTTTCTTCGAATCTGTCTCCCGTGGTA